TTCCTGCTCCATGAACTAATTCTGACCTGTGAATTCAAGCACCCCCAGTGCTGGGTGCTGGGATGGGGATGCCCCATGGTGAACTGGGGACACAGACAGCCCTGTCACAGCCTTTTAAACACCTGACATGCTGTATATGTGTTTATTGTCTGTCTCTTCCCACTACAATGTAAGAGCCACGAGGACAGGAATTTGTGCCTGTTGTGTTTGTTCACTGCTGTATTCCTGGCACCTAGAAAAACACATCAACGTAAGCACTCAATCAATATTTAACTGAATGAATGACCAACGCTCCTTTTATGGTGTTTTTAGTGTTTTTTTGTTTTTTTTTTAAACCTTTGGAGTCAAGGGATAGAGGCAGAAGAAATGTTGTATTCAGGCACACAGAGAAGGGAATAGCGGCCTTAAAGCTTTTCCGCCTCTATTCTGGCCGTTTGCTTGGCTGCCTCTCTGTAGGAGAATTGTACAGCCCTCCCCGTTGCCCCAGGACATACAAGGACTCACAGAGGCAGAGTGTACCCTCCCCCATCATCACCCCGTTCCCGGGGTTGGTTGCGGCTGCTTTGCACCCAGAACGTGAGCACATAAGGAAAGTAAGAAACATGCCACATCCTAGCAGGGACCTGAAAGTGAGGGCGTGGTGGGCTCTGTGTCCTGCTCTTTCCTCTGGCTCAGGTAAACAGCTCCATATGTGCGCTGCTCCTTCAGGCTGGACCCCAGACTTAAAGACTCCTCCCGGGCGTTCCCTGGCAGTGCAGTGGTTAGGACCTGGCACTTTCACAAGTCATGAGGCACGGCCAAAAAAAAATAATAATAAAAAATTAAAAAAATAAAGACCTCGCCCAACCGTAGCCAACATGTAATGCGAGTGAGACACAGATGGTATTCTTGTAGGCCACTGAAATTTCTTACTGCAGCAAAGCACCCATCGTTAACTATCTGAGGGAGTGAGAATTAAAGGCAGGTGGGCAAACTTGAGAAAATTTAGGAAAGCTGCCTACAAAAACTCACCAGAGAGGAAATAAAGATGATGTCTCAAATTACAATTTAAGTAAATGGGAAGATGAGTCCAGTTACAAGAATTAATTTATACACACTTCTCAGGAACTACCTTATACAGAAGTCTACACGCCCACACTTTATTAAAACACTTTAAGAATCTGTATTTCCCATGCATGGTTTAGCTGCAGGAAGATCCCTTGAACCTGCAGATTTGGGACCCATTGAATGGGTACCAGGTTGTATTACTTTAAAATATGAGAAAGTCAGACCTTGAAATGAACCGAAGAAGGTTACAATGTTGGGATGTTTCATCTTCGCCAGAAGAATGACTTCTTTCTGTGAAGCTTCTTTTTCTTGGATGGGCATCTAAACTATATTAAGAGACAGAGTAGTCTGTAAAGATAATTTGCTTTCAAGGAATGCTCTTTACTCACTGTCATCGAAAATTCTCCAGGATTTCACTGGCTTTTAATGGCACTTCTGCAACAGATCTCTCAACGGCAGGAAATGACATTTCTAGAATTAGAGTGTCCTATATCTAGTCAGTGGTTTGTCAGTGACAACCAGAAACAAGAAAATAAGTATTTCTGGTGAAGTTCTGCTGTATTAAAATTTCCACTGGATTGGTGTACTGTGTCAATTATTTAGTCATCTGGAGGAAAGTTATTTAAATATTTATCAAATATTTAAATATATTTATCTTTCAGCAACAAAGGAATTTGTAAAAGAAAAAAAATGCAATGTTCCAGCAGCAATCACTGCTGAGAAGAAACAAATGAAATCTAAAAAAAGTAAAATGTCACATATCACATCAGACCAGTAAAGTTCTATGTTAAGATTACTACGTTTTTCGTTTTCAAATAAAATGTCTCTCGTGACTTCATTTTAGATTTGATGTATTTTCTTTTCTTTTTAAAAAACTAATTTGCTTTTATTATTGCTTTTCCTTCCAGTTTTATTGAGATATAATTGACATACAGCAGTGTATACGTTTAACGTGTACAGCATATAATTTGACTCACACCATGAAATGATCATCACGATAAGTTTAGTGAACATCCGTCATCTCATATAGATACAAAATTAAAGAAATAGAAAAAACATTTTCTCCTTGTGATGAGAACTCTTAGGATTTACTCAACAACTTTCATGTATAACATCAGCAGTGTTAATTCTATTTATCATGTTGTACGTTACATCCCTAGTATTTATTTATCTTGTAACGGGAAGTCCGTACTTTTTGACCACCTTCAACCAATTCTCCCTTCCCATACTACCCGCTCACGGTAACCACAATTCTGATCTTTTTTTCTGAGTTTGTTTTTGAAGTAAAATTCAAAAGCTACAACTCTACGTCATTTTCCATCACACAACACAGTGATTTAAAATTTCTGTGCATTTCAAAGTGATCACCAAGATAAGTCTAGTTACCATCTGTCACCATACAAAGATATTAAGTATTGACTATATTCCCCACACTATACATTTCATACCCATAACTCATTTATTTTGCAGCTGGAGACTTGTACCCCTTAACCTGCCTTACCTATTTCTCTCCTCCCCTCACTCCCGGATGTATTTCCTTATTATTCTATTTATCATCTGTGGACAATATTTTTCAAATGTTTTGGTGCCATTGGCAATGGCCACACCTCATTTCTACCTTCTCTTCCTCATTCTTGACATTTTTTCATTTCTATACTGACTTCTGGCCCGGCTGCCCCACCCTTCTGGCCTCCATGGGTCACTGGTCCTCTCCACAGTTCCCTCCGTAATGACCTTCAACATTTGGCCCACAGGTAATGTGTGAGTTCCCAAATTTCTCATCCTCATTTAAATTTGCAAAAATTTTAAAAAATTAATATTCTCCATCCCAGCTTTACTGCCTCCTAGCTATGTATCCTTCAGTAAATTATTTAAATCTTCTATGCTTCAGTATCTTTCCCCCCACTTTAAATTGCATAATTGGCACATATGAGTTTCAAAATAAAAATAACTAAAATACGCTACCAGGACAGACTTAGCTACTTAACTACTTTAATTTATAACTACTGTTTTTTTTCAAAAGACTATTATAAACGAAATTGCAAGGCAAACATAGGGAGATAAATGTATTTTTATAGTTAGGTAAAAATACTGGCAATATATATGACAAAGATTTTTTTGTATTTATAACATACAAGGATTCTGGCAAGTAAGAAGAAAAGGCAAATATGCCAATAGAAATATGGGAAAGTACATGCCTAGGCAACTCTCAAAAAATAAAAAATTAAAAATGGCTCAGAAACAGTAAAAAATATTCAACCTCACTCAGTAATAAAAGAAGACTAAAACAAAATTTAATATGTTTCATCTGTGAAACTGGCGAAGACAAAAAGAATGTTAATACCCACAGTTAACCAGAAAGCAGCAAAATGGCACTCACATACTTCTGGTTGTAAGTATATAAATTGGTAAAATCTTTCTAGGAAAACAATTTTACAGTATCTAATAAGAGACTTTAAAATGCTCCTATTTTTCACTTATTAATTCTTCTAGAAATTTATCCAAAGAAAATAATCAGAAATGTGCCCAAGGGTTCTCATACAAAAGCCTTCATTACAGTGTTTTACTATTAGTTTTTAATTAAGAATATACACTAGTGGTTTGAAAAAATGTTTTAAGCCAGATAGAAGTAAATAAGATGAAAGTAAAACTTCCCCTTTTCCTCCCCACCCATCCCATGAATTCCTATTCCTTAGGAGTAACTGCTGCTAATTGTCAGAACTTTTTATTTAATGCACATATAGGTAAACATATATACACAGTTTGTTTAAGAAAAAATGACTCTTCTACATATTAAACGTTATTTAATCATAGCAAAAATATCAAGCAACATAACTCTCTGAAAATAGAAAAAGAGTTATAGATAAATTATGGTATTTTTAACCTAATGTCACACTACGCGGTCATCAAAAATCCATGGAAGCACTGGCAGGAAGAGCAGAGGAAGAGGTAGAAGGATTTGCTGGTCACTGTGCCTTGTTGAGCAAATTACTTAACCTCATTGAGCCTCAGCCCTTTCACCTAAACAGTGAGGGTAATGAGATCTACCTTTAGAGTTGTTGGGAGGATTAAATTGATTAATTATGTAAAACACCTGGGATAACATGAGGTCTGCTAGGAACCCACTATTACTATAAACATTGAATGATATTTTATGAGAACATTTTATTATATGAAAACATTGAATGACATGAGAAAATATTCACAATATACTAAGGGTAAAAAGCTGCTATAAAAGAGTATATCCACCATGACATCAATCATCTAATATATTCTAATAACTTACAAGGTACATTTATGCATTAAAAATAGCCTGGAGAGAAGTTCACCATAATGTTAATGGTGATGAAGAGAGAGGTTAAAAGTGATTTTCATTTTCCTCTAAATAGCCTTATTTTTCCCTAC